CCAGTAGGTCGAGGGAGGTCATTCTCCCCCTCTACTCGGCACTGGTGAGGCCACAACTGGAATGCTGGGTCCAGTTTTGGGCTCCCCAGTTCAAGAGGGACAGGGAACTGCTGGAGAGGGTCCAGCGAAGGGCAACCAAGATGATTGAGGGATTGGAGCATCTCCCGTATGAGGAGAGGCTGAGAGCGCTGGGACTCTTTAGCCTGGAGAGGAGAAGGCTGAGGGGAGACCTTATTATGGCATACACGTATCTAAAGGGGGGGTTGCAGGAGGATGGAGCCAGACTCTTCTCGGTGGTTCCCAGGGACAGGACGAGGGGCGATGGGCACAAGTTGGAAGAGAGGAAGTTCCGTTCCAACAGACGGAAACCCTTCTTTAGGGTTGGGGTGACAGAGCAGTGGCACAGGCTGCCCAGGGAGGGGGTGGAGTCCCCTTCTCTGGAGGTTTTCAAGACCCGCCTGGATGCAGTCCTGAGGGATGTGCTCTGGGCAGTCCTGCTTTAGCAGGGGAGTGGGGCTGGGTGGTCTCGAGAGGTCCCTTCCAACTCAGAAAATTCTGTGATTCTGTGACGCTGAGGCATGTGGGGATGAGGCGAGCTGCCCGAGGGGGTCCGTGGCAGGTCAGGTATTTTAGGGTTGGAGTCAGACCGTCGCTTAAGCATCCAAAACCTGTGCGTGCACGCTCGAGACGGGGCACGTGTTGCCTGGTGGTTTCGGGGCTGTGCCAGCAGAGATGAAGACACAACCTTTTTCGGTTGATTTGTTTTCTAAAGAGAAAAGAGGCGCTGGGTGAGAGGGAGAGCAGAGGCAGAGATTACCCGATAAATCGGTGGGGGGAACACAGTGCCTCCTAGGTAGACTTGCCCTTTTCCTGTGAAAAAGAAGACGAAAGGGAAGACTAGGAGCTGCTTCAGGAACGATGCACGGGATGAAGGATAAAGTCAGGAAAGAGAAACACCCAAAGTGAGCTTGAAGACATAAAGTCGTGGGAGGCCACAGGGGTGAAGAGTCTCAAGTGACGCAGCTGTATGTGTTACAACCGCGATTTGATGCTGAGTAACAAATCTTTCATCCCGTGTGCTGCAAAACAGCAGATGCAGTTGAGCTTTTGCTTACGGACAGGTCGAGGGACCGGCTCCCTCGGTGCTGGGATGATCAGAAACAAAAATAGGTGTCAAGAGAGATGAGCGGTAAACCTCCAGCGGTCCTAAAAACTTCCAGTGATCCTCAAAACCTCTTGGCTTCCACCTTCGGCATGCACGCCGCTGCGCTCGGAGGATATTGATCCCGAGAAAACATCTTTCAGTACCTAAAGGGGTACCCCCTTCCAGTCCCTAAAGGGGCTCCAGGAGAGCTGGGGAGGGACTTTTTACTGGGGCATGGAGTGACAGGACGAGGGGGAATGGCTCTAAACTGGAAGAGGGCAGGTTTAGATTAAACATGAGGCAGAAGTTTTTCCCTGTGAGGGTGGTGAGGCACTGGCACAGGTTGCCCAGAGAGGTTGTGGAGGCCCCATCCCTGGAGGTGTTCAAGGCCAGGCTGGAGGTGGCCTTGGGCAACCTGGGCTGGTGGGAGGTGTCCCTGCCCATGGCAGGGGGGTTGGAACTTGATGATCTTCAAGGTCCCTTCCAACCTAAACGTTTCTATGATTCTATACATTTGATTGCTAAACATGTCTGTTGATGCACATGAGGCTTTCCAGGTCCTACACAAAGCACTGGGGGTTGAGGAGCCTTTTCCCGCTGTGCAATAAAAGTTCACAACTTGCCCCATTCCCTCTTAAAACCAATTTGGGCGATTTTCTTTCTCCGGCTCCCAGCGCAGCACACACGTTTGGTCCTTGGCACTTTTCTGAGCATCCCTTGGGTTTTCCGACAAACCCCAGAACTGTCTCTCCTGCCGTGGGGGGAAGCGCAGCCTGCAGAGATGGGGCTGCGTCCCCCCGGACCGTGCACCTTCTCCCCGAATCACCAGCTGCATCCCGGCCCCGGCGTCTTTCTTTATACTAACAATTAACAGTTACACAGAAAGAGCACGGCTTTATTTTCAGGCACAAGGCTGAATTCGTGGCTCTGGTCCCTGGGAAGAGCTTCTAAATGGTGTAAAATCAATAGAGGACCGAGTTTCAAGTCGTTTTGGGGGCCAGCTACAGAGAGTCTTTTTCATTTTTAATCAAAACCTGCATCGAAGCCGTCCGCGTGAGCTTGGACTGAGGATGCTTTGGGACTCCTGTGCTGTTTCACATCCCGCACGACTGATAATTTCCTTTGCCCGTGCCGACGGGCACCGAGGTGCAGTGGGTGCTACGCTGCCTCTCCGGCTGTCCCCCGCCGCTTGCGTTTTCGCGTTTCGGAGCAAAACATGGCTGAGGCGAAAAGCATCCGCAATCATCTGAGACGTCCCTGCTTTCCCCTTGCTAAGTGATGCCCCATCAACCAAGCAGGTGTCCTGTCCCTCACGATTTAGCTCCCGCTTGTCTCTTTCTGCTCTCATTCCACCCAAACTGTGTGATTAAATGGTAATTCATCTTCTCTTTGCAAATACATCTACAGCCCCAGACGTGCCCGGCCGGGACGTGCACCGCCAGTCTCCCGAGTCACTCCCAGCCGTCGGGCTTTATTCTCATCTGCATCCTGGGAAGACGGGGATGCTGCTCTCCCCATCCTTCCTGGACCGCATCCGGAGGGGCCGAGGGACTCTCCCGGCTTCCCCAGGGGAAAACGGTCACGGATACGGAGGAGGAAAACAAAACCGCTCTGAAACACCAGCGGCATCGTGGCTCACTTGCCCGTGATCGCTGGCTTTATCACATCCCACTTGCCACCCGCCTTTCGCTGCTGGATTTATCCTGAATTCCTCGGAGTAGCTGCGCGCCGTGGCTAGCACCTTTTGGGGGAGTGCGAGATAAATAAAAGGGCCCTCTCTCCAGGTTTTTTGGGTCGGTATTTTCCCAAAGGGATTATTCAGCAGTACAGCTCCTCCAGCAGCATCGCCCGCTCCGGGTCGGATGCTCTCCTCCCGGCCCCGGCCCCGCTGGCTCCGGGATGCTCCCTGCACATCCGTGGTATGAGCTGCTTAGTTTTTTTCTCCGGACGGATTCCTTTGGCACAGCCTGTTCTCCGTGAATTCCTCTCGGCAGTTATTTCTTAAAGTGTTGTCCGAAAAGTTCCGGATCAAATACTGTAGCTTGCCCTAAACTGGATACACCGTTTGCTTTTCAAAATGTTGCTTTTGGATGTCTCTTTCTTCAGGCTTCTGCTTAAGAAGGGTTTTTCCTTCCTGCTAGCAGTAGGTTGTGATCTAATTAGCGCCTTTATTTTATAATAATAAGTAAATAATTAGAAATTACGTTATATCTTCCCGGGACCGGGGGATGAAATGGAAATGGCGGAGTTTTTTGGTGCACATCCTGCGTTGCGTGTGTGACAAGCAGTCAATATTTTGTTTATTATTGGCAATAAATCCGTAGGTTTTTTGGCTGAAACGTCCCTTTTCCTTTGCTACAGAGAAAACGGCTGATGATGAAGTCCAAAAGTCCGACATCTCATCCAGCAGCCAAGGGGTGATTGAGAAGGAGTCTCTGGGACCTCTTCTTCTGGAGGTAGGTGCTAAAACCTTCTTGCTGATGCTGTCAGGCGGCCGCTACTGCCCAAAGCAACGCAGCGCCCCGAGAAAGTGAAATACAGAGGCGGTGGGCAACGGGGACGTAGTTGGGATGCTCTAAGCCCGGTTGCATCCCTGGCCGGAGTTGCAGGTAAACTGATTTTAGTCCTCCACTTCAGCAAATGGTTTGGAAAGTGAGTCTTAACCAAGCTTGATGGAGCTTGGGCTCGGTTAAATCGAAGCTGTTCTAGATAGCTTCTTAATATCAGAGTGAAAACATCGCGTGTGGATTAAACCGAGCCCCCGTCCTCATTTGGAGGTGAGTTAGGTGATGTGGAGGGATGGTTTTCAACAGATTGGAATCCTTCTGTCCTCGGAAAAATAGACAGGATGAGGAGGGCACTCCGCGTTTTGATTTATGTCAGTAAATCAGAAATAATCAGATCTCAGAGTTGGACCTGACGGTACACCTTGCACAGAGAAGGTTATTGCATGGGGGTTATTATATTATATCGCAGGCCCCAGAGATAAATTTCAAATCCTAAATCATTCAGCTGGTAATTCCACGGGGGTGGTTGGGGTCGGAGCTGGGGGATTTCCTCCCTGGGGATGGCCAGCACCATCCCACAGCCGCCTTCTTGCGTTGAACCCACCTGATAAAATTACACTTTCAAATACTAAAAGGATGCAGCATCCTCATCTGATTCATTTAATTAACTGTAAGAGCATAATTGCTGACATGACACGGTCCAGCGATTTACTCTGTGGTTTCTTTTGGGAGCCCAATAGGTGGGAGGTGAAATGTGGCATCATTTTTGAGACAACAGGATGCCCACGAGCCAGCAATGTGCCCTGGTGGCCAAGAAGGCCAATGGCATCCTGGGGGGCATCAAGCAGAGTGTGGCCAGCAGGCCAAGGGAGGTCATCCTCCCCCTCTGCTCTGCCCTGGGGAGGCCACATCTGGAGCGCTGTGCCCAGTTCGGGGCTCCCCGGGTCAAGAAGGACAGGGAAGTGCTGGAGAGGGTCCAGCAAAGGGCTACGGAGATGCTGAGGGGAGTGGAGCATCTCTCTGCTGAGGAAAGGCTGAGGGACGTGGGGCTGTTCAGTCTGGAGGAGAGAAGACTGAGGGGGATCTTCTCAACGCTGATCAATCCTTCAAGGGAGGTGCCGGGGGATGGGGACAGTCTGTTTCCAGTGGTGCCCAGTGACAGGACAAGAGGGAACGGGCACAAAGGTGACCATGGGCAGTTCCATCTCCACCTGAGGAGGGCCTTCTCTGCTGTGAGGGCGGCAGAGCAGTGGCACAGGCTGCCCAGAGAGGTGGGGGAGTCTCCCCCTCTGGAGCCATCCCAACCAAAGGTCCCTTCCAACCCTGACCAGTCTGGGAGTCTGGGATTCTGTGAAAATGGGCTGTTAAAAAGCATCTCGTTCCTATTTAAGAAGGGTTTTTTTGCCTCTTGACCTGTTGGTTGAGCTGGACTTCCATAAGAAATTGAGCTGATGAGGTAATTTCATATTTTAAGCCCAGTGTTGCTGCTGGGGGGATGGGGGGGGCCGCCTGGGAGCTCCCCTGCCCGGTCCCTACTCCCCCGGCCCCCCGAAACCAGCATCACCTGGGGAGAAGGGTCCAGGTGAGTTTACCAGCCAGCTCGGGGCTCTTTTTTTTGGGTGCCCGAAGAGCACAGGCTGGTTGTCTGGGCAACAGCTGGGAATAAGGAAAAATGCCGCCGATCTGCCAGAACCATTTTGACAAAAAGATTTCTTTCTCTCCCCCCCCCCCCCCTTCTTTTTTTTTTTTTCTTTTTGAAACGCTTCCTGTTTCTTGCGCTTAATGTCGCTCTACAGCGAAACTTGATTTTTAGAAAAGACATGAAATAAAGCCTCCACCAGAGGAACTCTCTGCTGGCGCGGGCAGGAGAGGGCCATGCCGCCAGTACCGATTTTTGGGCATCACGAGTTTCTCCTGTCCCCGCACCATCTCCCGCTCCGGGTTATGGCCAGATCTAGTTGCAGGCTCATGGTCCACCAGTTTGTTGATGAGCAGGATTAAGGAGGAATTAGACTCCAGGAAAGCCAAATATTGCCTATAT